GTTAAAGGGAGGGGGTGACCGGTAATGGGTCGAATTGTTGAATGTTAAATTGTAACATTGTTTAAAATGGAGGAAAACCTGTTTTTGAAAACTTGTGCTTAATTTCGGGGGCGAAATTCTTTAAGGAGGGGAGGTTATAGCGATCCCGGGTTTACCCTTGTTGTACCGTGATCCGGACATGTGTCCGTGGATGTTGGTAGTTGTTTATTATCTTGTTTACATCCTTTCTTACTTTGTATTTGAGTTATAGGACGTGTTGAAGGAGATTGATGGTGTTCATCGAGGATTATGATTTTGAGTTGCATTATCATCCGGGAAAGGCCAATGTTGTGGCCGATGCCCTTAGTAGGAAAACTATTAGTGATGTAGCTTGTATAGCCATCCGGGAATGGGTGATGTTGGGAGCACTTGGCGAGTTTGATTTGCTACTGGGCGAATCTGTTGAGACTGCGGCCTTGTTTTCTGTTGTTGCGCAGCCTACACTTGTGATTAGAGTGTTAGAGGCACAGAGGCCTCGAGGGCCAATCCGGGAGCTTCGTCATCTCAGTCTGTGCAGCAGTCTTTTGCTCCGAGAGGTGAGCAGGTAGACCAGGGGCCTACGGGGCGCGTGTATGCTGTTACCGCGCAGGATTTAGTACCAGCTCCATCAGTAGTGAGAGAATATGTGATTTATGTGAATGTATCAGTGTTGACCATCTATCAATTGCTAATATTTTAGTCATTGTTCATGGTTGGTTTAGTGCATTTCTACTGGGCTGTGGCTCACCCTATATGGGAATATCATTTTCAGGTACAGGAAGCATGCCACCTCCAAGGACATAGCTTGGGAGGCTAGAGGCGGACATACTATTGTCGTTATCTTTTTGATGTATTACATGTAATTTCAAGCCAAGGGCTTTATGTGTAAACGAGTTAGAACTCTTTTGTTGTAACCAAGTATTAACTTGGAAAGCTGTAAGCCTGTAAGGCATTTTGCTTTTGTTGTTAACATGTAATACTTTTTGCAATGAAACTCTTATAAATGAAAGAATGTGAAACTTTTGAATGTCAATGCATGTCTTATTTAATGGGTTTAATGTTATTATTTTGAGGGCGTTACAGTTCTAGAAGGCATTCTAGAACATTCTTGTAACTTGTAAAGAAGACTTCCATGGGAAGCCTCTACATGACATTTTCTTAAGAGTTCTAGAATGCTCATAGGGAGCCTATAAATAGGAGAGGAGCTCATTTGCTCTAATCCATTCAAGAATTGTAAAGCATTCTCAAAGTGAAATATAAAAGGCATTCTCTCAAACTCTCATTGTCTTCTTACTTGTCTTTTTTCTAAATTTGTGAGTTAGGCTAACTTAGCATCATCAAGTGAGGCTTGAGATTGTCTAAGTGCCGCACAGAGTGCTTGGAAATTACCAAGGCCGTGACAAACCGCTATAGTTATATGTTCTCTAGAACTTTTAAGGGCACGTAAATAATTAGTTGCTGTTTGTTCCAAACCCCCTTCACCTTCCCCTTTCTTGTGTGTGCATGGGCATTTCTGAATGGCAAGTCTTTGAACTCTTAAAAGGCTAGGATTTTTTTTTCCTCCAAGCAAACAAATGAATTTTAGGGCCCATTTGGTAATGTTCTAAAAAGCTGAAAAAATAAAAACGATACTAAAAACATGTTTAGTAAGAATTTTCTTGAAAAACGCCTCATTTTCAGGAACTGTTTATTTTATTTTATTTGAGTTCTCAAAATTTTGACTTCAATGAAAATGACATGCAAATAATTTTGTTTTTGTATTTTCCATTACTAAAAAAAACAAAAAGAAAAATCGAAAACCAAAAATAATGAGAACAATGCCAAATGGGCCCTACATATTCCCGGGCACCAGGTGATGGTAAATTCATCTTCAAGTCTCCGTCAGTCAGAGTTTCTATTGTTAGGAAACCATCATTAGCCTCCAACGACAATGGACTGGCAAAACATGAGGAGGAGCACAAAGCAAATGTTTCTAGCTCTAGACTAATGTCTCTATGTTAAAACTACGAAAGCGATGAAGATGATTAGTTATCAATTGTAAATGACTACGTCAAGATTTCTTCTTTTTGTAGTATTGTTTCAAGGAATGCTTTTATTACAATTCTAGTTCTCATTAAGCTTTTGCTAGTGAAACTTGTTTTTTTGGGAGCAAACAAACAACATCAGAAACATCAACCTGGCTATACTCCGAAAGCAATTGGCAAAACAAAAAAACTCAAGAAACACCAAGGTAGCATTTGGTAGAGTTTTCTAAATATGATTTGAGAGTAGGAGTTGTATTTTGACTTTGTGAGTTTTGGAATTATGATTTGAGTGTAGAAAATTTGTTTGGTTATGGTTTTTGAATAGAGTGTTGAATTGAGTTTTGAATTGAGTGTGTAATTGAGTTTTGAAAGTTTGATGTGACATGTGAAGTAAAAATAATAAATATAAATAATTTAGACCTGAATGGACTTTTTTTTTTTGTTTGTGTATTAAATTTAGACAATAAATATTATGTTCAAACCAAACGCGTTTGTAATTTTTATTTTTTTAAAAATAAAAAGAAATAATTAATAAAATTTTTGTAAATAAAAACTAAAAATATAAACTTTACCAAACACTACCTAAACATTTTTTCATTTGTTAAATTTTATCACTTTTATAAAAAAATCCGTAAACTTATACCATTATTTTCACCTTAATTATTGTACTCTCCTGTCCATTTCACTGTCAATTGCACTCGTGAAAAAGAGACCCATGAAGTGGAAGTACCATCAATAATGTTAGTGTGTGATTGGTTTGACATTGAAATTACCACATTATCCCTCTTTCATTGAATATTAAATTCATATATTAGAAAAAAAATAAAAAGGACATCATGGTAATTTAACTCATATTCTGCAGAGCCATCAGCCCTCTGCAAAACCTTAGTTGGTTAGCTTTGATAAAAGAAGGCAAAAAAAAAAAGCCAAAATAGTTAGTCAGCTTTGGATCAAAGTTTTTTTTTTTTTTTTTTTTAAAAAAAAAAAAAACTAAAACTCAATAGTATGTTTTTTATCATTTGTTTGACCGAAGCTCTTTATATCACTCTCCTAACCAACAATTTCACTTCATAACTTTTAGCAACACCATCTTCATTCCAACAACTTCGTTACTTTACAACTTTCACCTACTTCTTCACCATTTTCATTGACATTTATTATTCAAGTAGTATCACAATAGTGTCAATACCCGAACCATACAACCACCTCCTCCACCACCTACCTCAATTAATTTCACAATCAATTAATTTCAAAAATTCAATCTATAATTTTATAATTCATATCCGTGTAAAACAAGAGACCAAGAGCTTTGATCAAAGGTTCCTTTAGATCTGCTCACAATTTCAGAGCTGTAGAAATAAGTCGAACAGTGCAGCAAACAGGTCGACCTGGCGGTCAATCGGTGGGTCATCTGGCAGGTCAACCGGCCTCGTCTGTTCCAGCTTCCAGCAAGTCTGAACTCGAGGCTAAGCTTTGGCTTTCTGTTGCTTACCTTTTGCACACCATTTTCATACATTTTTGTTACCT